GTCTTTCTGATTCAGGCCAGACAGCTCAGGACTTTCACCTTCTGTCTGGGGAAAAAAAACTCAGAAAATACCGGACATTCTAGGTGTCTGGTATTTTCTGATTGTTTTTACTGGACAGGAGGTGAAAATACCAGAGTGTCTGGGTCAATACTGAACACTTGGCAACTCTATTACTGGGTGCTGAGTCCCTCTGAAAACTGGAGTCAGGTGCCAGGCAGCAGGAAAAGTGTCATGGGAAAAATATAGCTGTTACAGATATTGTAAGTATAAACAGTGGGTGTAAGTTATTTGCTGAATGGTTAGAAGCAGAGAGTGTAAGGGTGCATTGTATAAATTTTATAATATACAAACACCAGAATACAACTGGGCTACATCTACATTGGCAAAAATCTTGCCACCTGTCTATACTGGCCACAAGTACTTGTGCAAGAACACTGATGTTCTAACGTATAAAATCAGTGCTTCTTGTGCAAATATCTGACGCTCCCACTCAGGGATAAGCCATCTTGCGCAAGAACAGTTGCACAAGAGGCCAGATAGGCAATGTTAATTTCTTGTGCAAGAAAGCCTGATGGCTAAAATTGCACAAGAGAGCATCTACACTTGCACAGATGCTTTTGCGCAAAGGCACATGCCGGTGTAGATACTCTCTTACTCAAATACTCTAATGCAAAAACTCTTGTGTTAAAGAGTATTTGTACAAAATCTTGCCAATGTAGACGTAGCCCTGGTGTGAAAAGAGAATTGAGACCACATGATAATTATAGGATGGGGCCCTTAAATGTAATGTGAGAACTGAGTTAAATGGTGATCTGTTTTCTCCTGATCTCATTATGCAACTCCTGATCTAAAGTTGATTCAGATTGAAAAAATTAACTATGCAGCACTAGATCTTTTCTTGCAGTGTTATCTAGTTTCTGTTCTCCATTTGGAATTTTATTTTTTATTTTTTGTAAACACAGACCACGAGACACACATGTTTTGGCTCCTGGGGAAAAACCTTGAAGACTGCGGGTTGTAGAAAATACAATTTGTGTTTTGAAGCTAAGTGCAGTTTTCGGGTTTCTCGGCATTTTTGATTCCCAACCAGTTTCTGCATTCAGAAAAACACAGCCTTAAAAGGGCAATGGTGCGAGCTTTGGCAACTAATTTTTTTTTAAATAACTTGTCTAGTAAAGTTAACCTGCATGATGAAAATGGCTTGTCATACTAGTGAAATGCATTAGTCATAAAACACACCCTTCACCCCCGCAAGAGATATCTATTATGGTGTACACAATACTGTGTATAAAAGAGCGGCCTCTCTTGTGGGTAGAAAATCCACACCTCTTTATGTACATAGTGTTATTGGTCACTCCACAATTTTTCATGTGTTCTATGAATCATAGGCATAAACCCCAACCCAATCAGTTTATATTCCTGGAATGTGCAATTTATTTTTCTTCTCTTCCGCCTCTTTTAAAACACTTTTAGCTGTGTTGTTGACAAGTTCTAGCCAGCATTGTACAACCTGGAAGAATGCATGTTTTAAGTATTTTAGGTCTGACAAACTTAAGAGTCAACTGAGCAATGGATGTCCAGCTTGTTCCTCAATGTGGAACCCCTGTTTGTTCAGACACTGAAGAATAAGGAATACAATGAAAAGAGTGAACACATTATTAAACTGACAAATCAGATTTAGTACAGAAGGTGGGGTGAGAGAGAGGGAGGGACTCCCCTACCCCTGTCAGGCTTTTGCATGCTACCACGGGCTCCCGGGGGGCCGATT